ACCGCAACCTCTGCCTCCTGGGTTCAAGCAATTCTCCTGCCTCAGTCTCCCGAGTAGCTGGGATTACAGGCATGCGCCACCATGTCCAGCTAATTTTTTTTGTATTTTTTAGTAGAGACGGGGTTTCACCATGTTGACCAGGATGGTCTCGATCTCTTGATCTGTGATCCACCCTCCTCAGCCTCCGAAAGTGCTGGGATTATAGGCGTGAGCCACCATGCCCAGCCTTAAAAAAAATTTCTAATGCTACTTGATGCATAAGGGCATTTCTATTATTTTAAAAATCTTTTAAGAAAGGACTAAAGTATAGAAACTTAGTTGCCATAAAAAATGTTCTTTAAATCTTACATTTTATAGTCATGTAATTAGGTTTTTACATGTATTTTAATAATTTATTGATAATAATGTAAATGAAAAATCTTAGTTGATAAAAACTTTATTCAAAACATGTAAAGAATCACATAGTTCAAAACTGCAAAAATAAAAGACAATTTCTGGTAACTGAAAAATAAAGTATATCTAAAATCCACCACATTAGCATCTACTATTTATAATACAATCTCCAGTTCAAAGCTAATCTTTGTATTTCTGTCTAACACTTGAGCTAGAATCTTCCTCACTATCCAACTACACTGTTATGAAGCCCTTTGTTTTAACATTTAACAATACAACCTGGGTATAATAAAAATAGTTCAAATGACTAGAAACTAATTAAAAAAACAGGTTAGTAAAACATTTCTTTTGAACACAATGGGTGAATCAGTATTCTGAATTGAGTTAGAGCACATTTCTGCTTGAAGACTCTCGATATTAGGCACGATGCATTTATACAGCACAGAACAACTGCAAAATGTTTTTCACCATTTATTAGAACCCACAACACCTGGACGCTGGGAACTAGCTGATTACCTCAGTTTACACAGGGAACACTGAGGTGCACTGTGAGATCTTGCACAGGCCAGAGTGATACCTCATCAGCTTCTGAATGCTTCCAGGAAGGGCCAGGTGTTTCTTTGTGGAGGACATCAATTTGTTTAATGACAGGAGTAAAAGTATGTGGGATCTGTCTTTGGGAAAATTAGTTTGGGCTCCATATATAAAAAGTTCAGAGCATGAATAAGGTAGAGATTTCACTGTGAAAGGGTTAATGAGGAGAAGGTTAAAACCAGATATGACTCTTTCAGACAGATCACTTTTCAGAAATAAAAATAGCAAAACAAGACTAGGAATTTCTAACCCAAGGGGACTTGATAAAATAATTTTAAAAGAAGGATCTCTCTCTTAAAACAACCCTTAAACATCTTTTTTCCCCTCTCATCAAACCCCTGTGAGGTAGAGAGCACTTACTTGCAGGGATGAAGCTCAGAAGTAAAGAAGTTAAGAGTTTAAAACCACATGGAGAGGGAATAGGCTGGAGCAGATGTTATGTCTTAAAGCACTGGCTTAGAAATAGAAACAGAAGGTAGAGAATAAACAGGAACTTTAATGGATGGACAAGTGGGATAATGCAGTGGTCTAGTAGCAACACCAGCTACTTAACGTATCTTTTAAAAAGGACTTGGAATTTTAAGTATGCAATGAGCCCTAAAATGACAAACACTTGTCTGAGTACTGAAATGCTCAGCTGAAGGAAATACACGCAGTAAGTTCTCATAAGACCATGTGGGAAGAAGCAGAGGCCTAAATGAGCTACAACCTGGGCAAGAGCGAACTAACGCATTTAAGACAAACTGCTATTACCTCCAGCTAAAATATAATGGGCACTGAGCTATCAATAAGACTTGAGAGAGGAACTTAATTTAGCCTGATCAATATGCTAGGGTAGGTTTTTAAAAATACCAGTCATTACTGGAAAGGGTGTTTAAAACCGAAACAATGGCGCCCGTTCACTTGGAAAATCATGCACAACTCTGGTAGTCAAAGACCCACTGTGATTTATTAGGATAAATTAACTTCTGAAAGACACATAAAACATCTCTTAATGGTTGACAGACACATCTGTAGTAGGACAGGCCACAGTTCCAAGCCAGCGTAGCAAATCTGATGTTCTGGATCTCCAGGGAAGCTTTCCCTCACAGTCTCTAATCAACTTTCACAGTCAAATTCCATACCATCATAATAAATCCAACCAAGTTAGGTCATGGAACCGAGGATCCTGCTGGGTCACAGAGCACATGATTATAGAAACTTTATAAATTCTATTGCTGGGAAAAACCACAGAGGGCAACTGTTTGGTTTCCCATCTTTCGATGCAGCAAAAGATGACATAGCTCGCCTGGGTTTTATTAAAGATTGTGTGGGATGGCATTTATAATCTAATCATCTTAAGTCCATGAGTGTATCTTCTTGGGTCCAGCTGCTATGCGTCTTCTACAAATCATGTGCTAGTGGCAGCTGTAAACACAGCTACCAAATGGGAGCATTTAGGATAGCACCCTGCCCATTTTCAACTCATGAAAGTGTTGTTTTCCATAAATATACATGGCAATAATATTCAAGGCATCTATTCCTCTTAAATTAGGGAAGTGAATCAGTTTTGATACAGAATGTAACTAGGACTTTTTGATGTAGGGAGGCATGTCATTTGATAGATATCATAACCTCAGCCCCCAAATACTATCTAGAATATTCGGGGGAAGGAATAATGGAATGGGTTTATTCGTAACTAACGGAATGGAAGATGTTTTCATTTGTTAGTGGCAGTTTCCTCTCCCTGAGACTCAGAGGGAACTTGTGCATCATCACCCCAATTGATAACCTATGACAACATTTTTTATGTTCTTCTGAATTATGTTCTTTTTAATTTTAGTCTACTCTGCTTCAAACTTCTACAGTCAATTTAAAACTTGAGTGGAGAATAACAACAAACCCAAAAATAGAAAAAAAACTAGAAATAACCTAATGTTTCATGTGCTGAGACTGGAAAGGCACATGTCGCCTCTCTGCTCTTGCCTCTAACCTTTGCGCAGAGTTAATGTTAACACAAATATAATAAAATGTGTCTGCATTAGTGAGAAGTTTGCAGGGGTGTGATTCTCTTGTATATGTGAACCGCAGAATGTTTTCTGAGCTGCAAATTTTTAGTAGCATTTCTTGCACACACACACATACCTCTAAGAAAGAACAGGCTCTGTCACTAAGGATAAATGCCATTCCAATCTAGGCAGCAGGTTGCTGAGTTTAGAGTGGTAAAGAGCTCCACCCCACCCTACTGTGAGGGTATAATAATCTGCAAAATCTTTAACAAATTCTGTTCCACTTGATATAATTTCTTTAAATTATTTTGGCATATGTTAATCAGTCATAATACTTACTCTGGGGGTGGTTGCTTAACATATGACGTACCCTAATCAGGAATACAACTTCAGGGCTGTTAGCATTTGGAAAAAAAAAACAACTCTATAGTCACTTCAGAGACTATCACAAAAGCTTTATTTGTAACTTAACACCAGAGACTTTGTTAATAAGTAAATATTTCCAATGGTCAAATTAATAGTGTTAAAGCTATGTGGATTAGCCCAAGTGTTGTAGGGCACCCTTCTCCTCCCAGGAGCAGTATATACGAATCTGATAAGCCTAGCAGCTTGTGATTCCTAACTTATTCTGTTAGAAGTGAAACTAAGAGTTGACTCGCCTGACTGAATCTGCTAGAATATTCCTGGATTCACTTTTTAAAATTGCATTTTAGGTTTTGGGGTACATGTGAAGAACATGCAAGATTGTTGCATAGGTACGCACATGGCAGTGTGATTTGCTGCCTTCCTCACCATCACCTATATCTGGCATTTCTCCCCATGCTCTCTCTCTCCAACTCCCCACCCGCCACTGTCCCTCCCCTATTTCCCCCCAACAGACCCCAGTGTGTGATGCTCCCCTCCCTGTGTCCATGTGTTCTCATTGTTCAACACCCACCTATGAGTGAGAACATGCGGTGTCTGATTTTCTGTTCTTTTATCAGTTTGCTGAGAATGATGGTTTCCAGGTTCATCCATGTCCCTAGAGAGGACACGAACTCATCATTTTTGATGGCTACATAATATTCTATGGTGTATATGTGCCACAAAAATGCTTATCATCATTGGTCATTAGAGAAATGCAAATCAAAACTATATTGAGATACCATCTCGCGCCTGTTAGAATGGCGATCATTAAAAAATCTGGAGACTACAGATGCTGGAGAGGATGTGGAGAAACAGGAACACTTTTCCACTGTTGGTGGGAGCGTAAATTAGTTCAACCATTGTGGAAGACAGTGTGGCGATTCCTCAAGGACCTAGAAACAGCAATTCCTGGATTCACTTCTAATAACTCTTCTAGGTAGGATAATGTTGGGTTGCACAGCAGGACAGAGTTGGGACTTTTTTAAGCTTACAGGACAGGTTGCACGACTGCTCTGGTTGCTCATAAACACGCATGCTGCAGCACTCGGTCTAAGACCTGATGTCAGTGTAAAGCACCACCTGGTGAGGATGGGAGACCTACAGCCCTCACACATTTCTATCTACGGAAGGCTGCCGAAACAACCTAGTAATTATGAGTTCCCAAACTGGCAAAGGCCAGGTTATAATGTTCTCTAGCACAGGAAACCCAGTACTTTTATAGATGTAACAGTATCGATCCAGTCATAGTCAACAGCTGAAATAAGCTTGGAAATAGCAGCTTCTAGTTTAACAGATATGAAACTCCCTGGTCCTGCTATAAGGCCTACAAAGGAAGGAAGGGAGGGGGGGGAGGGAGGAAGGAAGGAAGGAAGGAAGGAAGGAAGGAAGGAAGGAAGGAAGGAAGGAAGGAAGGAAGGAAGGAAGGAAGGAAGGAAGGAAGGAAGGAAGGAAGGAAGGAAGGAAGGAAGGAAGGAAGGAAGGAAGGAAGGAAGGAAGGAAGGAAGGAAGGAAGGAAGGAAGGAAGGAAGGAAGGAAGGAAGGAAGGAAGGAAGGAAGGAAGGAAGGAAGGAAGGAAGGAAGGAAGGAAGGAAGGAAGGAAGGAAGGAAGGAAGGAAGGAAGGAAGGAAGGAAGGAAGGAAGGAAGGAAGGAAGGAAGGAAGGAAGGAAGGAAGGAAGGAAGGAAGGAAGGAAGGAAGGAAGGGCCTTAGCCAAACACAGGAAGAAGGGAAGCACAGAGCTGAGCCACAAGTGGGGACTGGGACGTTTCTATTTGATGCTTTTCTATTCTTCTGTCTTTCGGACTTCTTTCCACTTGTCCAACATAGTGTTGCCACTCCTGGGAGTTCAATAAAGGTGAAACAGACAAACAGAGCAATGAGCATATTGAAGAAGCAAGTTGAGGGGGGATGTTAGAGAGGTTCGTGCCCACTAAAGTTGAGCCAACTGGGATGAAGCGCTTGTAATTTTGGTTGGCTGTTTTTGTAGCTATGGGTAATCTAATGAATATGAGATTCTGAGCATTTGGATTACCCATGGTTAAGTAAAAAAATGAGCATATGTACTTGCTTTCATCTTAATAAACATTTCTGATGGTTTTATTCTATATACTCTCTTATATCTCTGCTTTAAAAATAATTTAAACTATATTCTCCACACCCCTAAAGCAGATTTGGGAGAAGTAATAGCCAAGTGCTGCTCAGCATGCCCTAAGATTATATCGCAGGGGAGTATGAGCCTGTGTATCTCCACGGGAGCTCCTGGGAAGAGGGCAAAACAGGAGTCTGGTTCTACTCCTTGAGATCATTCATGTAAGGTACTTGCCCCGGAACCCAATCCATACTATATACTCCATAATGTCACTTGTTATTAGTAGCAACTTTTAAAATAAGAGCAAATACTGGTAATAGTAAAATGCATTTTCAATTCTAGCTAAAGCCTAAGCAGCTAAAATTCAGATAAAGAGCTTTCCACATGGCAATTATTCGTTATAGTAAAAGGAACTTCTCTAACTTGCACTTGGCTATACGTGAATTTGATCAAAGTGAAATTTTCATTTTGCCACTTGGTAATCACTAGGGAAACTACAGTACTCTAAATGCTGGTGAGGACCCTGGACGTTTAGGTTCAACATGCAGCAATAAAAGAGTCATAGACATTTGTCAGTTTGAAGGAAAACTGTAATTCTCCAATTTCCCATCCATTATCATCTTCTTCAGCTCTCACCACAATTCTCAGAGGTTGCAAATGATACCCCAGGCAGGTTAAGTGACTTGCCTATTTCAATGGCTACAAAGAGGTGAAGCTGGGAGTACCTGCTCTTTTGATACTTGGTAAATGGTCTACCTTCCAAACTCCAGGGAATGAGGCTTAATAGAAAGCTCTACTGTATATAAAGAATAGCACCAAAAACCAGTATAGTGCAGGAAAAGAGTGATAAATGGAAAACCAAATAGTGAATTTTAGACTACTGTGAAAGGGGTTCCAGGAAATCATTTGCAATAACAGGATGAAGAACCTATCTTGTCCCTATAAGTAAACAAAGCCATAGGAAAGTAATAGGGAAACCTGTTTATTTAGTTTTCAGCATATTTCTTAAGTATCTATTATGTACACAGAAGCCTAGCCCAGTAAGAATTTTATATTACATGCCCCAAAGAACATGGACTTCTTATACCATTACATCAAGCCAATCGTAGGTGGTGTGCATGCTCTGTTCTTAGTGTGGTGTGCAAAGAACATGGTGACCTGCTACCGTAGCAACAATGCACACTCCTGGAGCTTGGGCTATCTAGGCAATAAATGCTGTGTGTTAAAGGTAAGCATGCACACCCCACCCAGAAATGCAAAGCTGCAACCATAAGTAGATAAGCACGCTGGGGATTTATGTTTCACAGTGTTTTAGTAAACGCGTTATGGGAAGAGGATCTAATATCAGCTGTGGATTACAACCCTAAACCTCAATCACTGACCTTTCAGAATCTAATTTCCAAATTCAAATGGCATTGTCAAGTAGTCTAGTCTCCAAATTTAGAGATCAACAGGCTAATTTTGGATGGCAACTTCCGGTTGAGAGGGCTGGCTGATCAAACCGTTTGAAAGCTGCTTTCTATTTAGCCCAGTTTTTAGAGAGAACAGATGGAATGTACGAGGATAAGCTGTTATAGAGCTTACGTGACCTGTGTAAAGGGCCAAGAGCTATATGATCTACCAGTTAGTTAAAGAAGTATCACAGGTGACGCAAAGGCTAAGAAGACATTGAACTCAGTGGCTGCAGGAGAGGTGACACTACATCCTGAAATTTCTTTTTCATAACTACACTGAGAATTTTAAAAGGTAGACAGAAGGTTCCTCATGATAAGGAGGGCGCTGAAGACAGGCCACAGGGCTCCTAAGAACCAGTGTTTCCAAATCCCTTTCTCTTACGCAAATAGAGACAGCCACTCCCCTGGGTCTATGGTATGCTTTTGTGAAACTGACCGAATTCAACAATTCACTTCCCAGCAGGATCCTGGAAACTATCCCCAACATGTATGGCATTGACATTTTCAAAGCTTTCTAAAGGAACTGGTACACCACCTTACTGCCTCCATAACATCCAGTGTCTGTGAAAGACTTCCTGGTCAAGGAGAGCTCTGATCACAGCCATCATCCTATTGGAAAACAATTGCCAAGATTCCTATACCTTCTATGATACTAATTCAGTGTTGGTCTTCCAAATAATAAAGTTGAATATATTCTTTGCTACAAAGGGCAGTAAACTCCTACTCTGAGGTAGCACAGTAGCAATGAGCATCCTTGGAATTCACCCTTTGATCCTTCCAGCTATAGACTTTAACATTGCTAATTACCTAGCTAAAGCATTGAGTTGGAATTTAAGCATCCTTTCTCCCATAGTTGTTGGTCACTCAGGTAAATGGGGGAGAAAATATTTCTGCTGTAAAACTACCTAGATAATTTGATAAAGCATGGCGACTAAAAAAAGAAACACACAAAGAACTAGAGCCGGCACAACGTAAGTCGTTAGTGTCTTTGGCATCTCATTAGAAATCTCTGCTAACATTCTCCTCTGCCCTGGAAATTTAGGCTGCAAATATACACTACTTTATTTATTTTATTGCTTACATCACTCTTTCCTCACATATGCAGAGTTTGTAGCATTTTCTGTGTCTCTGACACACCTCTAATCTTCCAGAACACAGAGTAAGATGCTTTTCTTAAGATGTGAGGGAAGCGATGGACATTCATGTGAAACTGTGTTCCCTCCACCTCTGCTCTATAATTACCTCTGTAATTACTACTGTCAATCTCAGAGAAGGAAAGTTGGCAAAGGGAGATGAGAAAACTCAAGACAGACATTTATAGGCACTACAGCGTTACGGGGTACCATGGTAGATAAGTCACTGTATTTACTTTTTAGCACCTCGTGACTCTTGGTGACCAGGTAAAGCAGGAGAAGGGATAAAGAACATGGGGATTTAACAAACATACCATATTGAAGTGCCTTTTAAGTTTTCAAAATTTTCACCTGCTTTTAAGAGCAGAAGTTATTTCATGGTGACTTTCCAGCAGGCTTTTCTGAGGTAGATAAAACATGGATTATAAGTGGTCTGAAGAATGCAGAAGGGGAGGTAAAGACTGTCGCTGGTATTGGTTTGAAAGAAATTTCAGAAGTGAAAGCTGAGCCTGTCATGTAAAATACTAGAGAAAGAAGAACAAGGTTAAAAGCTGCACACCATTTAAACAAGGTTTTTAGAATTTAATAGGTGCAAAATAGGCTAATCTAGCTAGCAAAGAAGAGGACTGTAGGAAGAATGACAAAGCAAAAGAAGAACGTTTGTTACACACAGGGAGTCAAGAGTAGGCAGGTAACAGCAAGAGGTATGTATCCCTCAGGGAATCAGTGGTCAACAAGGAACATGTATCATAATAACAACCAGTGGGCTCAAAGTTTTCAACTGCCTTTTGTTGCTTTTGTTGCTATTTGGATGAAGAACAAACTTCGCCTCTTTCCTCAGGTATTGTAATTGTATTAAATATGTCAGGGAAATCCAAATCCCAGCTAAATTATTAGTGAAACAGATTCTGAACTCACTTTCACGCCCGTGTGAATTACAGATGAACAGGCTAGCATGCCTGAGACCCAACGAAGTTAACAGTACCAGCTGGGGCCTTTCTCTCTGGAGAATCTCGGCAGTTATCACAGGCAGATGCTGTACTGTTAAATGAAAATGCCATTGCAGGGCAAATGTCAGTAGTTAAACACCATCGGCACAGAAACACACAGGGCTGTAGTCAAGTTCACAAACACAGCTGGTGGCTAAGAAACCCTTAATGAAGACAAGAAATTCGCTATTGGCTTTGCGTCATTCATTAAGACTTCCAATACCCTTGGAGTGGGACTGTTCTATATGAGAGACAATTAAATAACTATTGGCCTCAGTTTCTCTCCCCAATCTAAGAATAAACATTTGTTAGAATGCTCCTTGGAAAAAGAGGAAAATCACACATAATGTTCCTGTGGGTTGATGTAGATTCTCTTAGCATCGTTTTGATGATGTTTGCCAGGGCTCCGGTCTTGGTAGCACATCTGATTGTAAAGACGGTACGTCTGCTGACTGCCATCTTCCCCAACTGGATTCTCGTCTTCATAGTCAAAACTCCTGCTATTTAGTACATTCTAAAAATTCAAACATTGCTTACGTTAGCAGAGCAGCTGTTTGCATCTTCCTAGCACTGGGAAAAAGAGGCAAGAACAAACTCATTACAGTTTAGTGTCCCTGACTCATTACTCCAAAAACTTAAATGACAAGGTTAAAGTTCAACAACTTATATTTTCCAGTCATTTGTTGCTTATTATATCCTGAATCAGAAAAGTCGCAGCTCCTAAATACAAAATTGTGACTAAGGGGGACTGAGATCAGTTTCAGGCTTTGAAATTTGGAGTTGCTATCAGTTAAGGTAACCTACAGAAGACTGGGATTATAAACCTCAGGAGTCTCTCAAGCAAGGTTCAAGCTTGAAATGAATATAAGAGATATACAGAGAGTTCAACCAACCAAACAAAAGCAACCTTGATTTAACTCTGGGGAACTGGGGAAAGGACACAGCAAAATGAACTGGCATTTGAACATACGCCTGATAAAACTGAAAACATCTGCCAAATGTCTTGACCTTTCCTTGTCGCTTGACCTTGGGCCTCATAAAATGAACCCCCCATGATGTTCTGTGGTGTCTCTGGTGCAGACTCTTCTGCCTGGTTATGGGTTTCATAAAACTGCATTACTTCTAAGAGTAAACAAGCTCAAGGAGTTTACTAAATCTTAGCAGAGACACTCAAATAGGGGAAAGATGAATAAAATGAACTTGTATCCAATTAAATGATATTTTAATAAGCATGTTAGCCGCCAGCTTCACCCGGGCGGACACCCACAACATGGTTACTTACAGAGTGCTGAAGACTGCCAACTTCTCTCTCTTTGAACTCAGTCTGCAAAGGCAAGTGTTCAGGCTGGAAGAAGACACAAAAAGACATGCACTTTAAAACACATGGCAAAACATATCAACCACTAAGATTCCTATTTTTAAAAGAGCCAGTCATGTCTTGTTATCAATGTCTACTAACTAAGCAAAATGTTCCACGTGAGAGTAAGAAAAACAACTATATTTTTTAAAAGTTTCACTTACTCTCTCCTGGCTTGTGACTTCTGGAAGGAAGAAAATAGAGGGCTGGGCACAGTGGCTCTCTCTCGCCTGTAATTCCAGCACTTTGAGAGGCCAAGGCGGATGGATCACTTGAGGCCACGAGTTTGAGACCAGCCCAGCCAACGTGGTGAAATCCCATCTCTACTAAAAATAAAAAATTAGCTGGGCATGGTGGTGCACACCTGCAATCCCAGCTATTCGGGAGGCTGAGGCAGAAGGATTGTTTGAATCAGGGAAGCAGAGGTTACAATGAGCCAAGATTGTGCCACTGCACTCCAGCCTGGGCTACAGAGCAAGCAACACTGTCTCAAAAAACAGAAAAACAACAATAACAAAAAAAAAAGGAAGAAAATAACATCATTTGCCTCAGAAGTTGTCATGCAAACTTATCTACCTCTTATATGAGGGAGAGCTCACCACAGAAGGTCTCCTGTAAAAGTGGTTTGGGGGTGGTGATGAGACATTATTTTTTGTCTTTATACATAGATTTAAAGAATATATGATCATCCTTTTCTTGCTTGCTACTCTTCCATCCCTATCCCTGCCCTCACCCCGCAGAGATTACGGAGTTCATTTTCAAACCTCACCCTAAGAAGAAACTTTTTCAGTTTTCCTCAGCTTACAAACATATGACTTACCCTTCAGACTTCGGTTCTAACATCGCCTTTCATGAAGCCTTGCACAACACCCTCAGGAAGAGATAGCCACTCTTTTTGTGACTTCATAGCATTTATTATCACAATTATAAGTCTATTTGCTTTTCTCCTTTTCCAGATTGAGAGTGCTGGTTGAAGTGTTTCACAAACATTGTATCAGCTAATCCTCGTATGAACAATACTTCTACAAAACTGCTGTCTTCATTTTACAGATGACTGAGGCTTAGCTAAGCAGGTTATCTCCAGTCACAAAACTGGTAAGTGGTAAATAGTAATTCCAGTGTGGCTTTGTCTAATTCCAAATTCTGTATTTTTATATCCCTGCTTTCCTTTTAGTGTCTGGAAAATAGATGTTCAGTCAGTATAATAAAATAATGCCTGAATGTCTCCACATGCAGGCATCTGTCAGCAAGCTCTGCGTTTCACTATCTTTGCTCATACGGTCCCTTTTAGTTTGGAAGGACAACTCTTTGGGAGTAGAAATTCTACCTATCCGTCATGGCCTGATGAAAGTCATTTTATTCACAGGGCTTGCCCACAGTCCCTGTCAAAGTTAATCTCTTTACTCCTAGTTTTCCTATTCTTGCTTTTATCTCTATTGTAGCACACATCATGACTATCTTGTTTTATAGTCCCTAATGTCTGTAACTTTCAGCTCCGGTAAGTAGTGAGCCTTTTTTAGTCATTGCTAGTGGTCTGAGTATTTGTGTACTCCCACAGTTCCTATGTGGAAACCTAATGGCAATGTGATAGTACTAAAAGGTGGGGCTCCTAGGAGGTGAATAGGATATAAGGGTGGGTCTGTCTTAAATGGGATTAGTACCCTTGTAAGGGATTGAAGAGACTAGAGTTCTTCCCTTCCTTATGAAGTTACAATGCGAAGACAGCTATCTATCAGAAATAAGACCCTTGCCAGACACTAAATATGCTGACACCTTGATCTTGGACTTCCCAGCCTCCAGAAGTATAAGAAATAAATTTCTGTTTTAGTTACCTAGTTAATGGTGTTTTGTTACAGAAGCCTAAATAGACTAAGATAGTCATCCTCCTCCATCCCCCTACCTTAGTTTGGGTTTGTGCAATAAGAATAGTTCACTGATGAGTTTATTGGAATCTAAACTATCATCAATTCTTGATATCTTATGTCAACATTACCTGTATTATAAAGTATGTGGCACGTTCACTCCTCCTGTCATGGTCAGCATAATTCTACAGTGCTTCCCATATGATCAGGTGATATTAGCAGTACACACTGGTAAAAGTCCAAGGCAGGGCCAGTCACACAGGGCCCCTGGGGTTTAAAGCTTTTAATACTTTGCAGTTGCCATCTAAGATTTTTTAATAATTTTACTGTTAATTTCCGTTTTACAAGTGGTCTAATGAGAAAAGAGCATGTTTCAGAGACTAGCAGGCTAGGCTCGCTGGCATCCCTGCCTCCTGTTGTCTGTCTTCAATTGGTTCTCGGGCACCACTTCCCCATCTTGCTGTCCCAGGTCCTATGTGGCATCCCCCTTGCTGTCCCCTCTCCAGTGACTGCTGCTGTCCTCGGCTTAGGCAGATGCCTGGGCATTGGTTCAATAGCACATGCCGAGTCATGGTGCATATGGCAGGTATCTGGAGGCCACGACTCAGTAAAGATGAACCTCTCATTCACCTCCACTCTAGGTGCCTCATAATGCCATCTTGACAGCCTTAATTTTTGAACATAGAGCCTGGCATTTTCATTTTGCACTGGGCCTCAGGAATCACGTTGCTGGTCCTGGTCAAAGGAAAATACACTTGGGAAAAAATATCTTATATTAAAATCAGCATTTTCATTTGTTTATTCTTCTTCTTCCATTAATACAGATAACTAAGAAATGATCTCCCATTCTCACCACTGCATCTAACTTGACAAGAGGTGGTGTAATTAGAAGCTTCTCTGTAGAGGGGGTGGGTATAAAGTTTTTAAGCCACTAAAACAGTTAATCCATTTTTTTAAAAGTGGTATCTGGATGTCTTTAAAAAAACTGATTTATAAACTCATTTTCTCCCATTTCAAGTGTCCCTTTACTACAATAATAAAACCTAAATATATTTGTGTTGATTTTTAGAACAAGTCAGTAGAAGCCGTCATAACCCACTACCTCTTTTATCAGCATCAAGGCACCTCTGACAGACATGCCACCGTCTTCTACTCGTATCATTGGCTTCAGCAGTCCCTCATGTCTAACAGTGTGACTTAATTTCCAAGTCTGACACTTATAGAAGAGAAAAGCAATTTAAGTGATGTTCTAAGCAACTTTGGCTTCCAAGAAGTAAATAACAGCTACCAAATGGAGGGCAACCAAAGATTTCTGGCGGTTGTTTCTATTCCTTAATAGTAGTACAATCATGTGGAAAAGTTAAAAAAAAAGAAAAAAAGGAAAAGAGATCTTGAACATACCCTCTGCTAACAATATGGTCCTTGCCTACTCTTCATGGCAGTGTGAGGGAAAGCAGGGGTACAGTCAACACTGGAAGGGAGCATATTCTAGAAACACAGTGTTTATGGTTTCAAGAGTTCAAGGGAAGATTTGGTTAGAAGATGTGCTGTTCTGTTTATGCTCTAAAATTCTAAATGGCAAATTTAACACTACCAGAAGATAAATTATCATTCACACTTTGCTGACCACCCTGGGTTAAGACCTGCATTTGGTCACCACCTGTTAAATGTGGGAACAAGTTTCAAGTCCCCGGAAGCCAATAATGCAGTATCATAAGTAACAATATAACAAGTATTAAGTTAATAGTATTTGGGAACCACAGAAGTAAATAATCTGTCTATTCTGCTTCCATACAAACAGATTTTAAAGAGCCATAGCTTTATGAATAAAAACACTGCTGCCTTTTTCTCATGGTAGAAGATTTTTAAAAATAGCCAGAAGTGGTGCATTTGACAATAAAGGACAAGAAGGGCAAGTTCTCAAAACTGAACAGGAAAAAGTGGTGCCTGGAAACTTCACATGCACTGACTAGACAATAAATGAATGGATAAGTTCCTCTTCTCCATCCCATATTCTGAGTCTTCATCATTAAATCATTGTAACTTTTGTAATACAACATTTAATAAAATTGTGTATGGAGAGAAGGACTCAACACGCCCTAGGAAAGTTCTGCATTAGGGAAGTGAGGCTGTGGAAAGCCTTATGTATCTGTTTCTGCACTGTGTGCCTATCTAATCTCTGACAAGATTTGGTGACATTGGCTCAATACATAAGGAGCTTAATCTAATGACAGATGAGTATCTGCTCTGTCAATCCACAGACCACCCGAAATGTTGTATATACTAGCTCCTCTTTTTATTTAACCAATTTTATTTTTCAGTGGTTTTAAGTTTATAGAAAAGTTCAGTGGAACATACAAATAATTCCCACATATCCCCTGCCCCCATTCCCACAAACTCCGCAGCTATGAACATGCTTGCACCACAGTGGTATATACATATGTTCCTACTGAGGCACCTTTTCACACATCATCACCTGAAGTTTATAGTTTACATTCGAGTTCACTCTTAGTGTTGTACCTTATTTGGGTTTTAACACACAGATCATGATATGGATCTACTCTTGTAATACAATACAGAATAATTTCACTGGCCTGAAAATTTCCTGTTCCGCCATCCTCCCTACCCACCCAGCCCATTTCAATAACTTACCTTCTTACAGTCTCCATAGTTTTGCCTTTTCCACAGTATCATATAGTTGAAGTTATTCAGTATGTAGCTTTTTCAAATTGGTTTCTTTCACTCTGTAATATGCATTTAACATTGTCCCATGTCTTTTCACAGCTTGATGGCTTATTTCTTTTTAGCACTAAATAATATTTCATTGTTTGGATATACTAATTTATTCATCACTTGCATATTGGTTACTTCCAAGTTTTGGAAATTATGAATTGAGCTGCTATAAACATTCATGTGCAGGTTTTCTATGAACGTAAGTGTTCACATCAGATGGGTAAATGTTGAGGAGTGTGATTTGCTAGATTGTATGGTAAGGGTATGCTTAATTTTTGTTTTTCTGTAAAGACAGAGTCTTGTTCCATCACCCAGGCTGGAGAGTAGTGGTGTAATCATGGCTCACTGTAGTCTCAAACTCCAGGGTTCAAGTGATCCTCCTCCCTCAGCCTC